ACAAGGCTCGATTTTAGGGCCAGTGCTATTTTTAATATATATAAATGACTTAGTAAACTCGGTCCCTGAGTGGGCATTCACCAGCTTATTTGCTGATGATACTCATCTCGGAATAAAGGACAAGTCGCAAAATAAACTCGAGCAAAAAATTGAGATAGCTGTGGATATTTTGAAGGAATGGTTTGAGGCTAATGGCATATTACTGAATGCTAATAAAAGTACAATAATGCATTATCAGGTTAGAAAACGGCTATCTGAGAACGTACTTGTTACAAATAATACTTTTCTAGGTTATACCTTAGACCATACTATGAGCCACTCTTATCATATAAACAAGCTATGCAAAAAACTAGCCAGTGCAAACTACGCACTACAAAAACTGAAGCCCGTAACCAATAAAAAAACATTAATGACAGTGTATTATGCTTATGTGCACTCCCTATTAAGTTATGCGGTGACAGTCTGGGGAAATGCTTCTGATATAAATCGTGTACTAAAATGCCAAAAAAGGTCATTACGAATTATAAATGGTTTGCGCAAGCGTACGTCAGCCAAACCTTATTTTAAACAAAATAAAATAATGACAATTATTTCTTTATACATTTATAAATGTTTAATAGAAATACACCATGATCGGGATTCACATTTGAGAAAGATGGACATCCATAGCTATAATTTACGTAATAAGGAACGATTGTGTTTGCCTAAAACAAGATTGGCAAAGGTACAAAAACAAGGCATATATAATAAAATTATAATGTATAATAAACTTCCCCTCAGTATCAAAAACATGAATGACGACGAATTCGAAAGAACAATTAATTTTTTTTTTATTCAGCATCCCTTATACTCTTTAAATGAATTTATGTCTATGCGTTTGGATGAATATTCATTCCTACATAAAGATGGGTGAGATACGAAATTGACTAGATCTCTATGGTAGATGACAAGATATAATAATCATCAATATTTTATGACATAAAATTATATATAATCTATGTTTGTATAATCTAATTTGTGATGTTGTAATTTAATTGTAATTGACTGTGATATAATTGATTATTAAGGATCGGAAAAATAACCATTTTGACATTGTTAAGATACTTAATTTATTTGACATTCCTACTTACAATGATTTGACCTGCATGATTTAAACCTTTATTTTTAATTTAATATGCTTATTGTAAAAGACTTGCCGTGTGTAACCTTCTGAGTTATATGGCCAATAAATTATTTGATTTGATTTGATTTGATTTGAATTATTCCCCGACCATTTGTCAAAATCTCCCTGACCAATAACGTCCTCTGAAACGAACATTTTATTGCAAGTTTCAGGTACTACTATCCAATGGCAGCTACACCAATCGAAGCACATTTACTATTTTTTTTAGATACATTCTCTCTCTCACACACACGCTATATAATATTAAACAAAGGTTATCTTTTTTTAGTATACTGTTGCTTTTTTGTAGTTTCGCTTCAAAACCAATGTGAACGTTTTCGGAAGATAAGAAATGATATAACAAATGAATATTCTACTAAGCCTCATAACTACTGTAGTCCAAAAACTATCTTCATGTCCTTATATACGGAAACATAGAACATTTTCCAACAAAATCAAAGTCAAGACCCTGCTACACTTACAAAACCTCAAGATTCTACATGTATCTGAAACTCATTTCACAAACAAAAGTCTTATAAGGTTAAAAAATATTCCATCTCTAATACGAAACACCCCGATGGCACAGCACATGTTGGAACTGGTGAAAATCTTTAACTAAACACCAAGAATCACTTCACTTTAACACTGAAGCCATTCAAGCAACAACCGTAACAGTCTAAAGCAAGCTCAGTTATATCGATTTTCCTGTTTACTTTTCACCATAACCCAAGATAAATAAAGGCCAGTTCAGTGCGTACCTGAGCTCACAAGAAAATAGATTTATTGCCACTGGAGAATGGAATTCAATACACACTCATTGGGGGTCGGAAAGCGATTGATTACTATCAAAAATTTTCAGAAAAGTATTACGCCAAAATAGTCTTACGCCAATCTCAACACCTGAACTAAGCACTGGATTGATTTGTAACAAAAGCACTTTCAAGCCTTTTTTAGCCTAAATAAAATGCCTGGACGAACTACGAATCATATTCCTATTATATTAATAATTAGTATCACCATATTGGAAAACACAAATCCCCCAAACTATACAACAAAGCACTGATTTGTATCAATAACGGGAAATCAAAGAGAATTAACTAGATTTCCTAATCAAATTTAAAACTGGTGATGATATTAAAGATGCAACAAACACATTCATTCAAATTCAAAATACGGCATGGGCTCTGTCCAAACAGACCAAAGTTACCAAAATTATAAATGGACTCATTCTCTACAGGAAAAGGCGGATGAATTTGCAATCCATTTAGCCTCAGTATTTAGACCCACCGAAGATAATGATAGTTCGAGTGTATAGTTGGAAATCCTGTTAAAGCTCGTTTAAATATACGAGCTTTATCAGAATTTCCGACTGTACCTTTATTAAATTATTTATGTTATCATCATACGATCATAGCTTTTTTCTCACATTTATAATGTAATGATCTGGGTAATGACATGATTTTGTGAATGTCGTTACTCCCATTAGAGCTGATGAGTTTTAGACGATCCAAAGATACTTTTAAGAAATCTATTTGAATAAAGATTATTTTGACTTTGACCTGCCAGTTCCGACGGCAACACCTCGTTAAACCAAATAATATGGCAGACAAAACGCACTTGGATTTGACATGATTGACAAAAACTTATTCATAGAATAATCACAAAAAGGTAGTGTACCCAATTGTATTATTCAATATTGTCACGATAGTCGGATACTTCCCAACATTATGAAAAGTATCAGAGATCATTATAATTGCAAAATCTGGTAAACCACTACATGACGTTAACGCCTTACCAAACCATCGGTCTACTGATATTAATAAAAAAATAATATCGAAACTTAAAAAATAACATTACCGAAACAAATGCTCAACAAGCTCACACATATCATCAATTTGATTGTATAATGGAACACCCCTCTATGGGACAAGCCCATAAATTACTCAGCAGTTTTTCTGCGTTTGATAGAGTCTGGCCCAAGCACTGAAATCAACTATTCATGAAATTCAAGCTGGAGCGCTGCAAGATTCGCCTGTACATAATCTTTACGTCTGATTTACCGGAGACTGTGGGAATAATCGTGGCTACTTTCGCAGATTATACTGCTATTTTGGCATCCAGTCCAAGTGAGTTAATACTGTGTACAAAGAAGTATTACGAACATAGATTTGTGGCTAAAAACTGGAAGATAAAAACACGCCCATCAAATTCGATACACATTACATTCGATAGAACGACTGCCTAAGAGTAGGGCTGGGTTCAAACATCTTGCCTTCCTGTGACTCAGTTAAATATCTGGGTATGCACCTGGATCGTCATCTTACATAGTCCAGACAGATTTAATCAAAGAGAGACGTTCTAAATCTCAAATTTCAATAAATGTTCTAGTTGCCCAGAAGGAACTCAGTTATTATTGGACAATAAGTTAGTCTTATATAACGTTATCCTTAAAACAATTTTGGATCTATAGACTTCAACTATGGGTATCAGCAAGTGACAGCAGCTGTTTATCACACCTTCTTTTACCCACTGACAAGTAGTTCTTAAAAATTTATATGAAAATGTCTTGAGCAATTGTTTCTTTAATTCATTATACATGTCTTCGTAATAGTGCACGTAAGTGTTTTATTACGAAAAACGAGGTATAGTTTCCGCAGATAATATTAGATCCTTAGATATTATGAAATTGACGTTTTGTCGTACTGGCCACTTTAATCACAAATTTCTCCTCCTTGATTGGGAATTCCAAATTCAAATTTATACAGCCATTTACACATGTGTTTCGTTAGGCGGCATTCATTTATTAATTTTTTTTCTTCTGTCTATCGCAAATCACACCCGAGTTAGCTGCAGGCTGCGGTATTAGTGATAAAAGTATTTTAATCCACTTGAAGCAAATTGGAAAGATTAAAAACCTCACGAATTGAGTGAAGCAAACCGGCAAACGCGCTTCGACTGCTGCGTTACATTACTTAACCGGCACAATAATTAAGGGTTTTTAAATCAAATCATTATCTGTGATGAAAAGTGAATTCTCATCGATAATGGGAAGCGCTCATCGCACCAAATCCTGCCCCAGGCGAAAATTGACCCCAAAATGTTACTTGTAAGCGTTTGGTGAACTAGTGCCGGTGTCGTTCATTACGGTTTTCTCAAATCTGGCCAAGACGATTACGGCAGACGTCTATTGTCAGCAATTGTAAAATCATGCTGGAAAAACTAGCTGTTAAACAACCGAGGCTGGTCAATCGCTTTACGCCACTGCTACTTCACGACAACGCTAGACCACACACTGCACAACAGACGGCTAACAAATTAGAAGAGCTTGTATTGGAATGTCTAAGACATCCACCATACTCCCCGGACCTTGCTCCAACAGATTGTCATTTTTTTCGAAATTTGGACAACTTCTTGCAAGGGAAAAAATTCAACTCTGATGGGGCAGGGCAAATTGCCTTCAAAGATTTTATTGATTCCCATCCGAATGGTTTTTTTAGTAAGGGGATCAGTGAACTACTTGTGAGATGGCAAAAGTGCATAGATAAAATGATTTATACTTTGATTAAATAAGTATATTATATTTAAAAATGTTCGACTTTTTCTTCCTTCCATACCGAACACCAATTTCATATGTAAAGACCTAATAATTAAGAAGACTTTTGGGAATGCAAATCTATCACACCAACATTAACAAAATTCAAAGCACCCAAAATGACATCTTTAAACAGATTTTCAACACACAATTCACTGGTAACCCAAACAACATCAAGGAAGAAATTAACGAGATGATTCTTAAGAAATATAAAAATAGGCTAGAGCATCATTCAAATACACTGACTATACCACTAAGGAAGTCAGAAAGTGTCAAACACCTACAGAGACGCAAAACACCAGACACAGAAAATACAGCGTAGACTGTCATTCTCTGATCGTCAATTTCATGAAAAAAGCTCATAAACAAGTAGACTGATCACATGATAATAAACTAAGATTAAATTACCAATTTTACCGGGTCTTATCAAATTGTTGTTTTGTTATTGAAGAAAATTAAAAGCAATCACAAGGCTTGAATGAACCGCCATTCAAAATCAAAAATTCAAATGTTAAATTAGCACCTAATATCACAGTAATAGATTACTACTACATATATAGTGCTTAAAGAAAACTGTTGCACTCCAAATCATAAGACAGGCCAAATATATAGTTTGAATCCTATATTTAAAAACTACCAATACCAACACTTGATACAGAGATATTCATGATCAATTTGAGAGCTCTAAAATCATAGCAATAATAAAAAATTTACAAAGATTTGCATATATTATATTTGTTAAATTTTACATTCACAATACTATACTAGAAAATAGAAAATCCATTTTCTAACTGTTACTCTGAGATGGGAATAGGAGAAAAAGGAAAGAAAGGGAAAGATTTCTATTTTTCCCTGACTTCACAGTTGATCTTAATTTTTACCTTAACTTTCCCTGATATTCCAGAAAGTGGACACCTTGTTTATACGAACTTTATGTAACATGTTTGAAAGCAGTTTTAAATAATAATTATTTATTTACAAAAAATAGTGTAGGACATCTTATAATTGATCATATCATATTACTAACCAAAGTTCATACTTCAAGCAACATCTATTCGAGGCACATTATATGTATATTTAATTATTCTTTCTTTTCTATTTCAATAGACGAAAATGGATGAGTTTTTACTGTTTATTATTCTTTTTTGATAGGCCTTATGGTTTCCAGAAAACTGCAACGGACATTCTTTTAGACAGAAAAAAAAAACATTTAAAAAAATCAAAGGTCATTAAATTTTTTTAAGCATTATTCTTTAAGATAGAAATGTTATGTTCTGATAGTATTATGACGTAAATAAAGGATCTGTCTTATAGGCTTGCCTCTACGGTGGCCACCTGCTCCCTGATCCAAAATGATACTTACTTGTTTCATAAGCTAGTGTGTCGCCATGTAAAGCACTGCTTGCTTCTTTCCTTATTTCCTCAATTTGATCTTGAGTAAGATTTTTACTAATAGTACCAGGTTCTTGAGGCAGCTGATAATAAAATAAAAACAAGATTAAATATAATAATAGACAAATCAACAGTAAAGAAACTTTATAAATATTTAACCTTATGTTTTAATGAATCTATTTAGAATGCAATGGACGTAGGATTTGAAATAAGCCATCCAGATACCTGATGGAACCATTTCTTCTTTTCCTCATATTCAAGAGTTTCTGCAAAATGTTTTGCGATACCTTGACTCTTCTTTTGGTCAGCATTTTTATCAGGGTTACCGTAATTTGTATACGCTTCATCAATTAATATGTTCTCTTCGAATCTTTTGTGCTTCATTATTTTTTGATATTATATTTTATGGAGAAAAAAACAACAGGCAAAATAACCTCAACACGTGCGGAACACAGATTATATAGTATGCGGAACAGATGACAGACTAAAATGCTTCTTCTTCTTTTTTTTATTAATGGTTTATCTACGCATTTCGCACAATGAGGAGGTATTTAAAAAAAAATTAGTTCCCGAAATCAAACTAAAAAAGCACCTCCACTAGATGGCGGCTCTAGCAAAAGTTGATTTTTGCAGGAAACTAATGGACTAAAGACAGTCATTTTCATTCCTTTTAACTAACATATTAAAAATTGAAATCGGAAAAGTTCGAAACTTTGATATAATACAAATAAGAAAAAGTACAAATAGAATATGAGTTGTTTACTGAGTTTTGAAAACTAATTTACTTTTAAACATGAAAGAAAACCGGAAGAATTGTCATGCAAAAATCAAGAGCGTAACGTAGCGACATCTAATTTGATTTCGGGAACTAATGTTTATTTTTAAATCATTTTTAAATATTTCCTCATTCATGACGTTAAACCAAGGAGAATAGAATGTGGAAGTATTAAAAAAAAACATTAGTTCCCGAAATCAAACTAGATGTCGATAATTTTTTTTTAATTAATGCTGTGAATTTATTAAAAGTGGTATTTGCTACAGTATACAATAATAATAATTATTATTATATTTCTTTATTTTTTCTGAAAACAATAACAACTAGGTAAGTTAGTTTTCTTGATATTAGTTGTTTGTTGAAGTTATAGAAACAAATCAAGTCTCAATCATATTTATATATTATGTGTGGTGAATGAATGAATAGGGTTTATTAATCAGCAACAAAGGTCATAAAAACGATAATTATAATAAAAAAATCCGTTTAATACCTATATGCTTACCCGATATGTATCAAATATACAAGGTATCCGTACAAAATAACATGACTTCTGGCTGGAATGACGTTTATTTAAAAGTATTTAAAAAAGCTATGATCAGTTATTAAATCTTAGACTCATAATTAAATCATCATAATAAAAATTCAGCAATCAATAAGAAACGTCCGTTCGAAACGAACAGCAAGCTTTAACGCTTTATATTTAAAGCTTTATAACTTTAAAATTCAAAATTACAAAGACACGTACAATTATTATATTATCGCTTCTGATATTGCATGTTGACGGCGGAGGTCGAGCCAGGTGTTATGTTAATTCGTACGGTGGGTACGTGCTTTTGGTTCTTACAATAATATTATCATTAATAAATTGATTTCCTGTTCAACCTACTCTAGAAATCAGTTTTATTGAAATATATTACTTATTAAGTACCGCGATTAGTTATGCTTTCTTAAAAATATCAGCGGTGGTATCGTGTGCGTCAGGTCGTTACGTTCCCTCAAATATGCGATGGCTCGCTCATGCGTCAAGCTCAATTTACTTTTATTTACAATTTACGTCAGTAACAAAATTTGAATGAATATCATAGGCAATATCCGAACATCGCTAGTGACATCTAGTTTAATTTCAAGAACTAATTTTTATTTTTTAAATACTTCCTTATTGATTATTACATAATCACAAATTTTAAAGTATTTACCATTAAAATACAAGTGTTTCCACTACAGTTATTTTAGTTTAAATTAATGAATGATATTTTTATAATGGTAAGATGAAAGAACGAAACATATGGCCTCCGTTGTAACTAGCTCTCTCAGATCGGATTAGCTTCTATATAAAGCGTAATGAAAAGTATACTTTAATTGATAGTGATAAGGTTTATTTTTGTAATTACAATTTTTCGATGTTATTAGTCCTGTTCTATAGTACTATAGGTCCATGGCAAGGAATAAACTCACTTCACTAGGTGTGTCAAAACTTGATAAACTGTCTTATGCCTTATCTTTTAGTGTTAATGTTCTAATTTGTTTGACTTAATATTTATGTGTATGATTTGTCATATCGGATCGGTCGGTTCTAAAAAACTTGGCTTAGAGTAAAAAAACTGAGTTTATTATTTAAAAAGCTTTAAATTAGAAGAGAAAAAATACAATTAATATCAGTAATGGATGATCAAGGGAGGAAAGTTATTGTTTGCGACAATGGAACGGGCGTAAGTGCATATAAAATTCGACATGAACTTATCATGATAAGCTACCTGATTCATCATTTCTATGTTATTTATTGTTTTACAGTTCGTGAAATGTGGTTATGCTGGCAGCAATTTCCCTGCATTCATATTTCCTTCTATGGTGGGCAGACCCATTATAAGAGCTGAGAATAAAATAGGAGATATTGATGTGAAGGTTTGTACCCTTTTTCGTTTAGTATAAAGCTCTGGGTTCAACTTTGTGATAGAGAACTTCGTTTTTAGATCTCGTTACTCTATAGGCATCATTTGATTTCGACAAATCTAATGGTTTATTTCTAATTTGATATAATAATCCAACTAATACTATCACCTGCTTAGCTGGCAGCTAAGCAGGTGATAGTATTCCAAAAAATGAAATGGTTATCAGAGCTTACATTCTATCAAAGTGGCTGTCGCTATTTTCATTAGTTAATAATGAATGATATTTTAAGTACCCAGATAAAAAGTAGAGCTAGAATAAAATTCTTTTGCTTAATGGGAACAGCCATTTCAACTTTAACCATAAAGATATATATTTCACAACTTGCGGTCTACTTACCTTGTTAACAATCATTAAAACAAAAGTAATATAAAACCACAGAAAGTCATAGACGTTCAGGGTTTTATGTATATTGATATACAATGTTAACACTAATAGACTTTCAGCATTTTGGCAGGGTCCAGTATTAGGTTCATAATATAGGAATAATACAGCTTTGATTAATATATTTTAATAATAATAATAAAAACTTCATTTGCATTTTATTTTATTATTGGGTGTGTTTTATCTTTCAATTACTGTGCAAAAGTGAACCTTAATTTTGCAAAAAAAACTTAATAGGATATTTTTTTTTAATGTAATATTTAAGTTTTTTTGGAAGTAATTAAAACTTAGTATGTTTGCAGAATATTTGTATCGGAGTAAGTCAAAGGAAATTTCACTATTAAGCATGTAGAACATTGTGTCAGCAATTGTCGACTAATAGAATGATAAAAAATATCTCCTATCTATAGAATAAAGTTTCAAGAGTGTAATTGATTCGAATTACACAAAATAATGTGTTAGTTATTCTAGAGAATCAATTGTTATATAACTACCTTACTTTATAAATTCTGATTATAGCAACTGAACATATAGATTAGTAACTTATTTATTCTATAGATGGGTTGATGCTAATTTTAAAAATGTGTTCTACATATTAATATGTAATATATGAGGTGTTCTATTTTATGTGTGTGTTTGAAAGTTTGAAAACAACAGATTTGCCAGAAGCTGCATTATAATTGTCATAACATAATTAACTTTTCACACGCAATCCAGACGTTCCATCCAGAGATTGTTCAGGTAACACTGATACACCTGACTCATGTAGTCACTGGAATGCGTAACATTTAGTTTTAGCAAGCAGATAGTATTGTATTATACATGTCTCTTGTATTAACATGCTAAATAGAACAGCTTTAGACTTAGAAACACAAATTACTTTCTTTTGCAATGCCTTATGACATTAATAATTTTATTGACAAACTTATTACATATTTATAATAAACTAGGCCCCTAGGAAACTGTTTAGGAGAATAAAAAGTAGCCTTTGTTCTTCCACAAGGTCAACATTATCTCTTTACCAAATTGAATTAAAATCGGTTCATTTATTTAGATGTGACAGCGTAACAGACAGACAGACAGAGTTACTTTCGCGTTTATAATATTAGTATGGATTATTCTGTGCACTAGATAAAAACTTAATAGAGATGTACAATTTTAAATACATTCTTAATATACAATTAAACAAGATCACATGCATATCTCAGATCAGGAGGTATCAGATTAGATAACTATCTGAAGTCCTTGTGTTATGGAGTATTTCTAAACGGAGGTACCATAACTCCTAGACCCTGGATAATAGAGAAAAAATTATTTTCAATAGAACACCACAGAGATGGCGACTCTTGAAAACCAGTGTGTGAGCCACTCTACTGTGGAGGTCACAAAATACTATTGTTATATAGTATAAGTCATGATAATAATAGCTATGGCTTGTTTCAAACAAAGCATGTCGGATAAGCTTAAAACTAGCGAGCAACTGCATATAATTTGCTTCGTTTTTTATTAGTTTATATTTTGACACCAGCACATGTAAACTATTAGTGGAACAAAGCTGTACAAAAATTTAAAATTTGTATAGACAACCTTGATCTTGAGCATTAGAAGCGAATTTATTTTACAGTGTCCTTTATTCAGTTTTACATTGCAATATAATAACTTATACTGTATTATAGATGTGCAAAAACAATTGAGATATTTTAAATTAGGCATATGAATATTCTTAAATAGATATAGCATTGTGAATGCAAACATTGATCAAATATAAAAAGGGATATGAATGTTGCAACTAATATATAAAACTAAATTAATTAAATACAATTTTCAACATTTTGTTCTGTTATATGACATACAGTGAATTATTTAATATACAATGTTACAAAGCATGTTCATTCTCTTCCGAACACTTACAGCTGGTTTGTGAATTGAGAAAAGTACAAAAATATAAACTGATTGTTCTCTATAACTTAAGATTTTTACGTTTATATGACAAAAAGTTTAAGTGAAAGTACAGTTTCAGACATACTTAATTTCAAATTCTCAATTCAGCAACTAGTTATCAATCAATTAGTGTGTTGGTGCTGTATTTTGCGATGCCGATGTGTGTGTTGGAGCTTTTATAACGAGATTTTGTTTAAACGCACCTACTTTGATAACTTGTCTAATTTCCCGTTTAACAGACTGCATAGTTTGCGACATCTCTATTAATTATATATATATATTTTTATTAAACATTTCTTTTCCACAGGATTTGATGGTAGGAGATGAGGCATCACAGCTCAGGAGTATGCTCGAAGTTAGCTATCCTATGGAGAATGGGGTGAGTTATTTCAAGCCATGCAAAGCTATATAGTTCATCTTGGGTTGGCCATTGTAAATGATCAATTAAATATTTTTAAGACTTCCGTGGCAGAATAGAGTGCACGCTGGTGTCAAAGTGAGGACCCAGGTTTGTTTTCCTGCGGGATCAGTGTAGAGAATGATCTTTTCTATATTTTCTTAGGTCTGGGTGTTGTGGTATTGTCGTTCTTTCACATTTCCATTCATTTAGGATCAGATCCACATATATGATATATACTAATATTATAAATGTCAACAAATTACAAGGCATCATTGTTTGAAGCATGTTGTTTAAAATATTACGATCATTAGTCGTCACGTTATGTTTACACATAATATTAATTAACATTCCAATTTGCTATCTCGAAGTCTCTAAATAAAAATGTTATATATTTAACACACACGCTGTAGATGTTTATTATATGTATACGCTGGTTCCAGCCATGAGTCCAGCAGTTTGTTATGATAACCTGTATTTTACTTATATGTATTTTAGTATTTTACTTGTGATAAACTGTATTCACTCAAATGAAATTAGTACACTATTTTTATTGTAAAATAAGTAAGTCTCATTCAACATTCTGACTTATTCTCAAATCATCTAGGACCACGTAATTAACCATGACAAAAGAGGCGACGTGTATGTATATTAGCGAATTTCTGAACAAGTTGGTCAATTATATTATTTATGTCCACCAGGTGGTCCGCAATTGGGACGACATGTGTCACGTGTGGGACTACACTTTCGGTCCCAGCAAGATGAATATAGACCCGCATGAGACCAAGATCTTACTCACTGAACCGCCCATGAACCCCACCAAGAACAGGGAGAAGATGATAGAGGTAATAATAGTAATAGGGTACTTTATGTAGTGAAAAATAAGTAACGTATTCCCAAAAAACTAAAAATGGCATTGAAATAAACATGGATATTCTTATTTTGAGTCATAAAATGTACGTTACTTCATTAAAAAATTCCCGCATCTGTCAGATTAGTTTCAAACAGCAGCCTATTTATTATAAAGCAGATTCCTAGATGGCGCTGTTCTTATATTTACTGTGACTAGGTTTGTTTGATTGTCATTTTTTCTGTAAAAGTTGCAATTTTGATTTAATTTTAAGGTAAGAAATTGTCGCGGTGATGGAACACTTGGCATACGTTTAGTTCTTCAACATACTGAAATATCAAGCTTTCGAGAGCTCTTGCATATTTTTGTCACAACCTCTTAGTTAGACTAATATAAGTCATAACATAGTTAATTGCACTATACTAGCTTTCCGTCAGCGGCTTCGCTCGCGTGGTCCCTGTTTAGATGGATAAACAGTAGCCCAAAATAAAACCAAATTCAAGCTTAGAATTTAATTTAATAAATCATTTGAATAAGGTTCCATATCATGACCCAGATATAATTAATGGTCAATTGAATCATAAACAATGGTTACTATGCCACCGTTTTAATTCCCTATACAAACTTCCACTTCTGTTTTCAGCCATCTTTTTACCGTTTTTCGGAATAAAATGTAGCCTATGTACATCGCATATGAAGTAGCTTCCCGGAGGTGAAAGAATTTTTAAAATCGGTCCAGTAGTTTCGAGGCCTTTTTGTTGCGATCAAATCTTTCCTTTTTATAATATAGATAGTTATATTTATTAATTTGTATTCAAAATGATTTCTCACAAATTTTACTGTCACTTTGTCTTTTATAACTTATATATTCGTTTGGGAGTTATCCGTGATATCTATCCGTATATGTATATGTGAATAAAACTGTGCAGGTTATGTTCGAGAAGTACGGCTTCGACAGCGCGTACATCGCCATACAAGCGGTGCTCACGCTGTACGCGCAGGGGCTGATATCCGGCGTGGTCGTGGACTCGGGCGACGGCGTGACGCACATCTGCCCCGTGTACGAGGAGTTCGCGCTGCCGCACCTCACGCGCCGCCTCGACATCGCCGGCCGCGACATCACCAGATACCTCATCAAGGTACCCTCCACCCCCGTAGCGCCCTCTGTCTCGCTCCCGGCTCCCGATACATGTGGAATAACACTGGCGTGTGTCGTGTCGTGTCACAGTTGCTGTTGCTCCGCGGCTACGCGTTCAATCACTCCGCCGACTTCGAGACGGTGCGCATGATGAAGGAGAAGCTCTGCTACATCGGGTACAACATAGAGCAGGAACAGAAACTGGCCTGGGAGACCACCGTGCTCGTGGAACCTTACGTCGTGAGTTTGAACACTGCGTCATTAATGAGATTATTATTATTTTTGAATACATTTCATTCACTGAATACACACTTGGACGCAATAAAAAGCCCTCAAAATTACTAGACATATAGTCGTTTCCGCTATCAGTCATCTGGCAAATGTTTGTTTCCAATATGGCACTTTTCCTGCCTCTCTCAAAAACCTTTGGTTACACCAGTGTACAAGGGTGGAGGGAAAAACGATGTCAATAATTATAGACCAATCTCTGTTCTTCCTGTCATTACTAAAATAATAGAAAAAATAATTAATAATCACCTAACTAATTTTGTAGATCATTTTTATGTAACAATCAGTTTGATTTTAGGCAAGTCAAATCTACAGAAGATGAGTCTTAAGTTAAACCAAATCAGTAACGGATCGTTTAAATGAAAGAAATAAAAGCTTAACATTTTTTTAGATCTCAAAAAAGCCTTCCACACCGTTTCTTTACCCATCCTTGTATTGTATAAAAAATTAGAATGCATTGGAATAAGAGACACTAGATCTTTTTAATAACTGACTACGCGACATATTAAGATTTGTAATTATTTGAGCAGTGATACGACGGTTTTTTTGGTGTCCCTTAAGGTAGCGTGCTAGGCCCTACTTTATTTCTTATCTTATAAATATAAATGAATTAACTTATATGGATATTAACAACGGAGAGTACTTTCCTATACTGATGACACTGCATTAGTGTTTTACGGGTATTTTAAAGTGGGTACAAGCTAACCTCCTAACGCTTATTATAGTAAAAACAAATGATATGTGCTTTACTACAAATAATCGTTGACCAGTTGCCCGACGGTCGGGTGATCAAAGTGGGCGGGGAACGTTTCGAAGCTCCCGAGGCGCTGTTCCAGCCGCACCTCATCAACGTGGAGGGGCAGGGCATCGCGGAACTGGTCTTCAACACCATACAGGTACACCGCCCCCCTCTTGTATTAACATTTACATTTACAGATCATCGATTCTCACTGAACGAAATTAATCTATCGATATCGTGTACGCGCGGTCACACCGCCGACTACCACCCGCGGGGACATTTCATCGCCGCTTCCACGTATTTAAAGTAGAATTCATACTTTTTAATCGAATATGGTAAAGCGGAGCGTCCACGAGCCGGAAAGTCAGGGAAGCTCGGATAAAATTGGGATGTTTCGTCAAAAAAACAAAAACTCCCAGGGATCGCGATTCAGATATAGTAATTTGCACAATTATGGGCCACCGGGGTGTTATAAAATTAGTAAGACCCACATATTAACCTTTGTAGGGCACGTTTCCGAATACATGCAAATGTTTTCCATCAAACGTTTCAAGCGGGGCATACAAATTTAAAAAAAAGGGGGAGTCAAAAAAAAAAAAATAAAGTCAAAATAATCTTTATTCAAATAGACTTCTTAAAAGTACTTTTGAATCGTCCAACATTTTTTTCCCTATCACTCGTTCACGACATCTTTTGGCTGATAAGAAGAACGAGCAAGAAACTCACCAGCTCTAATATGAGTAATGACATTTACAAAAACCATGTCATTACCAGATCAATACATTATAAACAGAGAGAGAGAAAAAAATGGTCTTATAATGATATAAAATAATCATTTAATAATAATGGAAACAAAATAATGAGTTTAGAAGTAATCACCTATCCAGTTGCTGGATCATCTCAAGTCCAAGCGTTCTTATTATCTGCTATATAATCGGATACCTTATAATAAGCTTTTTTAATAAGTATTTTTATAATAGTAGATTTAAACTGCATGATATCTAATTGTTGTATTTTGCTTGGGCCCTTTTTGTAGAAGCGCACACAAAGACCCTTGAATTAGTTATTAACTTTTTGCAGTCTAGTGACAGGCACCGTAATTTATTTTTATTTCTTGTATAAAAATTGTGTACATCACTTTTTATAGAAAACAAACTAATATTTTTACGAACGTACATTAAGTGCTCGTATATGTATTGAGAAGCAACAGTCATAATGTCTATTTCCTTAAATTTCTCCCTTAAAGAGTCCCTAATCCTAAGATTATAAATTGATCGAATTGCTCTTTTCTGAAGCACAAAAATTGTTTGTATGTCGGCAGCATTTCCCCACAATAGGATTCCGTACGACATTGCACTATAAAAGTAACTGAAGTATATTAATCTGGCAGTATCTATGTCAGTTAACCTACGTATTTTCATTACGGCATATGCTGCAGAGCTTAGCTCTGCAGCATAAGCCGTATGTAGACTTATCTACTCGACAATCTATCAATATGTGTGCCCCACTGTAGTTTAGAATCTAATGTTATTCCTAAAAAGATGTGGTATCCACAAGGCCCATATTCTCATCTTTCACATTAACATTTATATCTACTTTTTTAACATTAGGTAGTACAAATTTTAAGCATTTTGTTTTTCTTTTATTAAGGATAAGATTATTTACACTAAACCAATGTACTACTTTAGCGATAGAATTGTTCACATCGTCATTTAGAGGTAACTCTCTTTTAATTTTAAACAAAAGTGAAATGTCATCCGCAAACAAAACTATTTCGTGATCATCCCTTACGAAATAAGGCAAGACATTTATGTAAATCAAAAACAAGAAAGGACCAAGTATTGAGCCCTGCGGAACTCCCATCTTAATTTTCGATCCAGGGGATCTTTCGCCATTGATACCAACCTTCTGTACTCTGTCAGTCAAGTATGAGACAATAAAATACAATGACTTATCGCTAAATCCATAAAAATGCAGTTTCCTAATCAATGTTTCATGAAAAACAATCGAATGCCTCAGGTAGGTCACAGAAAACACCTAACGCATCGCGTGAGTCCTCCCAGGCATTAAAAATTTCTCGTATTAATTCGACACCGGCTTCGGTTGTCGAGCGACCCATCGTTAAACCAAATTGTTGTCGATTCATAAGCTTATTCTTGTAAAAGTACGTTTGTATTCGATCCGGCAACTTCAAGATCCGATGTTACTTTTTTATTACCAATGTTTAAATTAGATTTTTCTCTTCCAGTTTCACTATTTATGATATTCCACGTCATTTTAACTTTATCTTTACTATTTCGGCTCGGAGGCGATTCGGCTGTATTTGAACGGTGTCATATCGCAGGCGGCCGACATCGACATGCGCAACGAGCTGTACAAGCACATCGTGCTGTCGGGCGGGTCCACGATGTACCCGGGGCTGCCGTCGCGGCTGGAGCGCGAGATCACGCAGCTGCACCTGGAGCGCGTGCTGCGCCACGACGGCGCCAAGCTGCAGCGGTTCAAGATCCGCATCGAGGACCCGCCGCGCCGCAAGGACATGGTCTTCATCGGCGGCGCCGTGCTGGCCGAGGTCTGCAAGAACCGCGACAGCTTCTGGCTCGCCCGCCGCGAGTACCAGGAGCAGGGGCTCGCCTGCCTCAGGAAGCTCGGGCCCCGCGCCAGTTAGACCGCGACCGAACGAACGAACTCACCGACTTGTACTCTTTTCATTCAGGACTTTCAGAAGTAATAAAAGTTTAGACCGATAACAAAATTAAAAAAGTCGAATTGAATTCATCGCGACGCTCACTCGGGGATTGTTATAGATTACCCGTCTAATTAAACGCCTCGTGCGTAATGGTGAGCCTAACGATAGGCTCATTCGCTGACCATTCCGACGAACAAAGATTTAACATCGGTTATTACAATTTGTACATGTAAACGATGTATTCCTTTTATTAAACTACCACTACCATCCTTAATGCCATCTTCATCAAAACACAGAATTAATCATAAGGAAGGTTTATATGTACAATACAGGACCACGCGAGCGAAGCCGCTGGCGGTAAGCTAGTGTTGTGTAACATTTTACTGTTCGATGTAAACTCTCTGTTCGACGAGCACGTGCGCCCTCGACTGAGCCGCCTCCTATTCCTATACCTCTGAGCTATCGCTCGGTGCCCCCTTGGCCTTTTTGGATCAGACCCTGCTTATTAGCAACGCTAAAAATTGATGAATAAATAGTACTAAAGGAAGCATAACATTTTATCAATCGGATACATTGACTTTACTATCCAATAAAGCGACAATGTAGTGAATTTATGATATTTGAAACACGCCAATTTGGTAATTATATAGCATTATTCTAGTAAAAAACATACTTGTAAATTATATAATGAAATATTTTAATAGGGAATATGCGTCTAATTCAGAAAAGGGTTCAATTAATCTTATTATGACTATCGCTATCTGCGCAGTGGTCTTACTGCTGAAAAATCCGTTCCGTTATGGACTGCCAGTACACTGCTACAGTACCCTAGGGAAATTTATGACGTCATAAATTGCCGCCATACTTGTACTGTGAGCACTGGAGATTTAGAGGTAAGGTGCTCGCAGTGCTTTTGATCACGTGATCAGTCGAAACAGAATCAGAAAATGATAAGTTTCTAAATAAACAAAAAGAAAATACTAACGTTTATTTATAAGATGGATTTAATTGATAAATAATTTTTTTATACAATTTTCTTTTGAAAAGAGGGAATCTTTATATTTATATTCACCTTGCATTAACAAATTTGAAAATGGCGCCAATAAATAGGATTAACAGTATACTGGACTGCGTTCCGTTTTAAAAAGTCACCAGTATAACTAGCTATAAAGGAACGGGCTTCCAGTATACTAAATTGACGTCATACTGTTCAGTGGTCGCAGTGTATATCGGAACATACCCAGAATAATGTTTTTGTGAATATTATCCAACATATTTGGTTTTGGTCTGGAAAATGATAATTAAAAAATGAAAATATATGCGGTAAATTTATAATACTCTAATGCAATGCCATTTAGGGGTCATCCATAAATCACGTCACACTTTAGGAGGGGGGGGGGGGGGTCGAGGAACTGTGACCAAAAAAACAAAACAAGAGCTACCTGGAAAATAATTAAAAATTCTAAGAATGTTATGCCTAAAGAACCCGTATTAAAATTACGACTACATAATGAATGCCTAACTAGATCTATTGACATTGCAAAAGCATTTAATGACTATTTCGTAGATACAACTAAAACTAATGACTCTAATTTTACTCAAATTGAAAATAATGATGACAGTAATAATTTAAATATACACAAACTTACTCACATAAATACTAATTTAAAATCTGTATTTCTAGGTCCTACGACAGCTGATACGGTTTTAGAAATAATATTATCTTTGAAAAATACAAATAGTGTTGGGTTTGACGATATTTCCACAAAAGTAGTAAAGTATGTTGGTCATTTAATCGCACAACCATTGAGCCATATCATAAATTTATGTCTTACAGCAGGCATATTCCCCAACAACTTAAAAATAACAGTCATAAAACCACTTTTTAAAAAGGGTGATAGAGAAATTGCAAATAACTATCGGCCAGTAGCTTTGTTATCAGTCTTTTCAAAAATCTTTGAAAAAATTGTTCATAGTCAACTTGATGAGTTCCTTGAAAAACATAATATACTAGCAAATGAGCAAAAAGGGTTTCGTAAAAATACTACTATAAATACAGCTATCTATGATTTAGTGAAAAGATCTATTCTATGTCTAGATAAACGAGTACCTTCATGTGCTATTTACATGGACATGAAAAATGCGTTTGACCTTGTTGATCACAGCATTTTATTAGAAAAATTAGATCGTTATGGTATTCGAGGGAATGCGCTAAACTTAATAAAATCATATTTGCAAGATAGACTTCAATATACTGAAATAGCACAAATTTGTATGTATTCTAAGCAGGAAATAACTTACAGATCCCCTATTAGGTCAGTCAGATGTGGTGTTCCGCAGGGAAGTGTTTTGGGTCCTTTATTGTTCATTGCATACATTAATGACATAGTTAACATTACTACATTTCCAATGATATTGTATGCAGACGATAGCACCGTATTTATAAAATGTGAAAATATTGCAAGTTATGAATACCATATTAACACAGCTATCAGAAATATTATTAAATGGCTCGAGTTAAACAAATTAAAAATAAATCTAGATAAAACCAATTTGATGCAATTTACACAGCGGAAGTATACTCCAAATTTATCTGTTAGTTATAATAACAAAATGATTAATGAAACTAAAGTTGCTAAATTTCTAGGTATTTTAATAGATAGTAATATGTCATGGGAATCGCACTCCACTGAGGTATGCCAGAAATTATATAAGTTTTCATTTGCATTGTACAAATTATCAAAAATAGCTGACCAAAAAACTGTACTAACGGCGTATCATGGTTTCGTGGCGTCAATTTTACGGTATGGTATTATATTTTGGGGACTTTCAACCTACAGAGAAGTATTGTTGAGGGCCCAAAAACAATGTATTAGAGCAATTTGTGGATTGAAGAAAACGGAGAGCTGCAAGCCATATTTTAGGTCTTTGAATATATTAACTTTACCATGCTTGTATGTATTAGAATGCTGTATTTTTGTAAAGAAAAATGCAGAGCTATTCAAAATTAAGGAACAACAGAATCAATACACACTTCGTCCTCGGAAACCTCAGATCTGTACAAGTATTTGTAAAACAGCTCTCATGAAAAGAAGTGTCATTGAAATGGCTCCTAGATTGTATAACAAGCTTCCTGAACAAATTAAACATTACAATATTATTAAATTTAAAAATGCATTGACGAAACTATTAGTAGATAAATGTTATTATAATATTAATGAATATTTTTTTGATAATGATATACAATCAATATAATATGTATAATTTAATATTAATATTGTATATATTTTAGTAAGATTGTGCTCGCATTATAAATAATTTCTATAACGTATAATTAAATTTTTGACAATTATGACATTTAATTAATTTTAAGAAGATTTGCATGCTGTTAATAAAAGCAAAAACATGTTGAACTTTAATAATACCATGAGAACCTTATGTACCATGTTTTCAAGCAAATAAAATGATTATTATTATTATTATTATCTCAAGCAGAATCAATAGTTTGTCCTGTTGATCTCACTGATCACAGTGTTACAATGTTAGGTATTCAGACTAAACCTTTGAAGTCTCACTCTAGGAACAGAACCAGGCAAATAGTTGATTATGAAGGCTTAATATCGGAACTTGAATGCGTAAACTGGTCATTTCGGGAAGAAACCTTTTCTGTTGATGATGTAGCTTCTAATTTTACCACTACGCTCACAAATTAAATCTTCAAACATTCTCATTCTGTTAAAGTTAGCCACTCAAGATTCAATATTCAACCTTGGATTACCTCCGGACTAATACGCTGCAGCAAACATAGAGACAAATTGCACCTTGACTCAAAAAAACACCCAGAAGCATGCATTGACAATATCTTAAGTAATATAAACTTGGCTACGGCTACGACGTTGCCTCTTTACCTGTCGGATCACGACACCGCTCAAATAATATCATTTCCTATTAAAAATGAAAAAGAGTCACATGCTGGGCTACTTATAGAAGAGATTATTGTAATGAAAACCTAATAAGGTTCCGGAAATACTTGCAATCATTGTCATTTTCAGATGTTTCATTTTCATTTTCAGATCGAACATAAATAAGGCATTTTATATTTTCTACGAGCTATTTTGTGTGCTCTATGTTATATAATTTATATAATTTATGTATACTGTTTTTTCATGCTCCGACATATGTAATCTGTGATAGTGACTATATTTAAAATATTTATTATTCTCACAATTTAAATTTTGAAATTAGTTGATTAATTAAATGAATGATATTATATTCCATTATAATACTTGTGATTGAATGCAATTTTTAATCGGACTATCATATCAAAGTGAAGCTATAGTTTGAGATCGTGCTAGCACTCTGGGTAAAGGCTGAAAATCAGCGCTTTGCTCCTTGAGCAAAGGAATCGTTGAGCTTTTACCCTTTTGCATTGTTGTGGCGCACACGTTAAAGCGAATTTTTTTTATTGTATTTTTTTTTATTGTATTAGAATTTTATAATGCATGTGTGCTATTTTAATAATGCAAATAAATATATTATCTATCTATCTATCTCTACGAATCTTGTTTTCCAAAGATTAAAATTAAAATTAACAATAAAATTACAAAACCAAAGTGGATTTCTAGGGGTTTAAAGGTAAGTTTAAAAGTCAAAAGACGGCTTCGATTTAAAAATTATAAACACAAAACTAATGATAATAAACAGGCTTATACACGATACTCACTAGACGTGTGCGCCGCGCCGCGCCGATGACTGACGCCGCCGATCAAGACACGCCGCCGCTGACCGGTTCGAAAGACCGGCGTAAACGGCGCGTGATGGCACGAACTGCGAGTAACATTCGTTCGCTCGGTTGCTAATCAATATAGTGCATTCAGTGCGGCACGTGTTAATTCCGTTTCGTATTTCCATATTTAGTAAAATTTTAATGAATACAAAAGTAAAGTCAATAAACAGATGCAAACAAATAAACAATCGAA